TAAATTCAGCCACTAAAATAAGATCTTAATGGGTGATTCAATTCAAAATGCCAAAATAAAATTATTGCAAATAAAGAGGCATATACAATTATACTCATATTCAGAAACTGCTTTGCGATTTTGATGAAGACTCAGAAACAAAATAGTACTCTAAATGGCTTAAACAATGCATTTCCTTTTTCCTCTGTTCTCTTTTCCTTCTCATTACCTCTGACCTGTTTCCCTCTCTTCCATGTTGGTACCTAGGTCTTTGCCATACACATTTTACATCCGAATGAGATGATGAACTTAGGACTCTAGGAGATAAACACACACACATATACTATAAATGGTATTGCACAGTTTTCCTTATACCTTGTAATCTTATGCTTATGAAGATTAAACCTTAAAAATAAAGACCTGCCAAATAGGTACTATAACACATAATAAAATGCATTAAAATTTATAATTAGAATAGTAAGATTTGGGGGATTTAAATACCAAGCAGTTACTTATAAAATACCAATGAAATAATTCTGGATTAATTGGCATAATACTGAATACAAAAAACCACCCTACTTAGTAAACCAATAAAGAAGACCTGCAAAAGCCAGATGGGAACCATTCTGAGTTGGTTATGATCACAGACAGGTGAAAGTCAAAGGTCTCCAGTGGGACTGTAAGCACGTAATTCTGCTCAAAGTTTCCCAGAAGAAATTCAGAGGTAATTGTTATTGTAAAATTTTGACCTAGGATGTATATCATTCTTTTGTGCAACAAGTGTTTAAGCTTTTCCTCTTTTACCAGGGATAAAGTACGCCTGATACCAGGAACACAAGAGTTGAACATGAAACTTAATTATAGCTGAATGGTCAATGAAATAAAATGCTGTACATTCCTCTAAATAGTTACGTCTAGGGTTGCAAACTTGGAATAATTGAGCTAGTACAAGGGCTGTCTCTTTATGTTGGCTACTAGAAAGCTCAGAGCCTGATTTGCAGTGATTATTTGCAAGCCTGTAAGGCATCATGGGTACATTTTGTACTGACTTCATTCTCGGTCCACTTGATTCTTTACTATATTTTCCTTCTGCCTAATGTTTAACCTGTTTTATGTTTTCTTACTGTGGCATATTAACCTTTTTAAATCAGGTGTAGAGACATAATTATACCTAAGGATACCCCCAAAATATGTATGTTCTATAAACGCTGTCTCATAGCACTACCCTTCGTATCTCGAGTTTAATTCCCTCAGAGTGGACATGAAACACTAGGATTATCCAATAGTGTTACATGGACTCAACGATTTCTACAGAGTGGCTAGTTTCCCCCGCATTGTACAAGCTGCTGTCTTCCTGCCAAATGCCAGAATGTTTTACATAATCCACACCACCACTGTAGTGTAAAGGAGAGCAATAATAAAGACCCTCCTCTAAGGTTTTGTCTGACAGATTTGGGGAGAAGCAAATTAGTAACAGAGATCATGTTAGCTGTGCAAATACAGCTAGAGGAAGGCCTGGCTGCTGGAGGCAGCTGCAGAGGGACAGAGCCCTCAGCAATCAGTTTAAAAAAATTATGGAAGAATCCCTTCTGATTCTGTCATGTATCAGTTCAGGATGACATGGGGATACAAAGACAGTATGTGCATGGCCAAGAACATGGAAACGTAAAAACAGGAGGCTGCAGGCCCAGGCAAGCGGAGGCAGGGCCCAGGCTTCCCGGGCGTGGGGGAGCTGCGGCTCAGACCCACCCTCGTCATCTCTCATTTGCTTCACGGTGCCAGCCAGCCATTCTCGACTAACCCTTTCTCTTGTAATTATTAAATGACGATCCCCAGCAAGCACTTGCTGTCAAGACTCTCCAGTTCAGAGCAGGAAGGCAACTTCCTCGGAGAATTGTTTTTTTCTACTAGCTACGTTTAAAGTTTGCTTTTCAGCTTCCTCCGTCATTTTATTTGTGACAGCTCTGAGAATGTGAAGTAATTGTGCCCTGGTGCACCGGGCACCACTTTCTTCCTCGTTTCCGTCTCCTTTCCTTTCTTTGGTCTCCGGTCTTCCCGATTTGCACCTCCCCAGTTNAGTGGGGGATCCCGATTTGCACCTCCCCAGTTTCATTGTCCAGTCGAAGTCTGTGGTGGACTGACCGCCTAGGCCAGCTGTCAGCGCTGCTGGAAAGCCGGGGTCCGTGGCAGGGGCCTCGCGTGGGCTGTGCTGTGCTGCACAGAAGCGACTGTTACATAAATGCCTCCACAGGCAGTGCACACTCTTCCCCGACGGTGCTGCTGAAGAAGGAACCGATCAGAAAGACTAATACTCATCTCGGATTCTTACGGGGATCAAGAGGCTGGGTGAAGGCCAACACTGCTGTGCATTTGCTGATCTTATTTCATACTGAAGAACAATTTTATTAAATAGTATAGGAAAAATACTCTTCTGCCCCATTTAAGTTGAATCTTGAATTCATAGAAAAAAATTCCATTTGATGTGCTCTAAGAAAACAACCCACGGTGGCCTCAATGTGAT